TAAAATAAACTCACAACAGAGATGGATGGTATGTTATAAACTTGGTGGAAAGTATGAATGTTCTACGTTAAACCTCAATAATATTGGAACATTACTACATCAGCTCTTGAAGGAGAACTTTATATCAGAGATAGAAGCAAATGCTGCAGGTATTGTTGAAATGCACTATGACTTCTTCTTGACAAACATAAAGAATCTTACTGAAATAAAGATGTATGATTTAACAGAATATGAAGGCTTAACGATGTCAGATGTAAAGAAAGGCAAACCAAAAAAGAGACCATATAGAGATGAAAGCACACTGACAAATGACCAGAAAGCCATTTTGGAAGCTCTTAAGCAAACAGGAAACCCAGCACTTATAGAAAGCTTTTGGAAAGATAATGGTGAAAAGAAGTTTTATAAGAAGAGAAGCGGTCAGTTCTGGAAGTATCTTTGCACATTACCTATAAATCTTGAACGCTACCAAATCTTCAATGAACTGAACAAAAGAACTGCAACACTTATGACAGAGGACAATTGTTTCGTTTATGCTTGCATTCAGGCTGGAGTAAATGAAGAAACTATTGACCACATGAGAGAAGTCATTCGTGTTAGAGACTTTCCTCAAAGTAAAGTACAAGAAATTTCTGACGCAACAGGTATAGCATTTAATGTTACCATTGGTTATTTCAATGACTCAAGACATAATGAAATAAAGAGATATATACCAAAAGAATGTGAAACTGTTAGAACTATTGACTTACTTCTTGTTGAAGACCACTACATGCTAAATGAAAGACTTCCAATGACAACATATTTCATTCGAAACTATAAAGAAATTCTCAAAGCTTGTGGTGGAATGAACATTGAGAAACAGATGAAGATTTATACAAAGAGAGAAGATAAATATGTAGTTCGTTATGATAGAACAACACCGTTATGGGATGTTATGAAAACATTGTGGGAGTGCAAATATTTCGAACCTATTTCTTATGGAGAACTTTTCACATATACTACTGACTTATATAAACAGAACCTTGCACCATTTAAAGATTGTCATATGCTCCAAAGTATTGTGTACAACTGAAGAGAAAGCAGAGTCAAAAGAAGTAAATAAATAAATGTAAGTTCATTCCTGAGCACGTTTTCTTTGCTGACTTTGAGTGCAGTACCGATGGCTTTCATAAAGCTTTTAACATATGTTATGACAGTGAAGATGGTTCAGTGAGTGAAAGCATATGGGGTCAAACTGTGCAACAGAATTTTTGGAGCGACTTCCTGACAAGAGTTTAATATATTTCCATAACCTCAGTTATGACATAAACTTCATCTTAAGACACATGACAGAAGTGAAAGGAACTCCCATCATTAAAGGTTCACGAACAATGCAAATAACTGGTTATATAAAGGACGGGCAATTATTATAAAAGACTCTTACAGTGTTATAAATAAGAAGCTTAAACTATTTCCTGCTATGTTTAACTTACAAACAGGACCGAAAGAAGTATTTCCATATAACTACTACAGCAGGTTTTTGTTAGCAATGACAACAGAACTGGTGTCATTTCTGAAGCATGTAAGTTTCCGATGGAACATTCATGAAAAAATAGATTCCATCAAAGGTTGCAGAATAGATGAGAACCACTTCGACTTAGAAAAGTATAGCACGTTTTATGCAAACAAGATGTAAGAATTTTAAGAGAAGGTTTTGTTAAGTTCCGCAATGACATATTGAAAGAATTTGATTTAAACGTTTATGACTACGTTAGTATTTGTTCAATTGCTAACAAATTATTTGAGAACAGAGTGTACTTCCCGAATGGAAATTTATATGACCTCTCAAATAAACCAAGAGAATTTATTTCAGCATTCAAGGTGGAAGATGTATGTTGTCAGATAACATGAAACAAAAGAGCGAAAAGAAACTCATTGCTGACTTCGACGCTGTTTCATTATATCCATCAGCTATAGCAAGACTTTATACTTTAGAAGGAATTCCAAAGGTTATGAAGAAAGAAATGTTAAGCACAGAGTATCTCATGAGACATTTATTCGATGACGACCAAAAGGAACCCATTGGTGAAAAGTTTATGTCTGGCTTCTTTGTTCTCATTAAGATAAAGAGATTGGTACATAGACACTTTCCTTTAATAGTTTGTGACCCTGAACTAAATCCAGAACTTAACGTTCCCAGAAGTTCAAACACTTGCTGTTTAATGTATGTTGACCATATAACATTACAAGACCTCATAAAATATCAAGGTGTCAAATGTGAAGTGTTGCAAGGATACTATTACGATGGAAACAGAGATATTAAATAAGAGATGAAGTAAAGAAGTTGTTTGAGTTAAGGTTAAAGTATAAGAAAGAAGGAAATCCTTTGCAAGAAAATATAAAGCTCATTCTGAACAGTATTTATGGCAAAACTATTCTATCTCCTATTGAGTCAAAAATAACCATAGTAGATGACAAAGATGCTATAAGATATGCCATCAGAAACTACAACCATATAGTGAAGTTCGAAGGTTTGGATGGTTCGATAAAACTATTTTCAAGCTAACGAAAAGCATTTGCAGACACTTTAACTTCTGTCCACTTGGTGTTAATATTCTGTCAATGTCGAAGAGAATAATGAACGAAGTATTCTGTACTGCAGAAGATATGGGACTTCAAATATTTTACCAGGACTGTGATAGCATGCATATTTTCAATGAAGACATACCAAAGCTTGCAGCAGAGTTTAAGAAGAGATACGGTAGAGAACTTATTGGTAAAACATTAGGTCAGTTCCATTCTGACTTCGCAGAAATAACACCTGGAAAACAAAGTTTAGCATACAAGTCAATATTTTGTGGAAAGAAGACTTACATAGACTTACTCACTAATGATTTAAATGAAGTTGCATTTCATGCACGTTGTAAAGGTGTAAACAAGACGTTCTTGCTTTAACAGCTAATGAAATGTTTCCTGAAGCTATACAATGCTATTACAATGAAGATAAGAACATTCACATACCTGTTGGAACATATGACAAAGACTCTGAGTTCAGTTTAATGAAACTTTACAAAGCACTTTATGATGGTCAAGAGATTGGATTTGACTTATGTAAGTCTGCTACACTTGCATTTGAGGAAAAGTTTAACTTTTCTATTCAGACTAAGACTTCATTCATAAGAAAGCTTAAGTTCTGAGAACATGAATGAGAAAAATAATGAGGTCATTTATTTTTGTCAGCAGTGAGGTCATATAAGATTATATTGACGTTTGAATGCACTGTATGAAATTTTTGTAAGTTTTCCTTTTACAGTCCATGCATTTACATACAGAGTTCCACATTTATTGTTTTCCATTACATGAAGCTCTCTATAGCGAATTCCATTAAAGAAATAGAAGAGGTCTTGTTCTGGGTCATAGTATAAATCATCGAACTCATGTTTTCCATATGTTTTAACTTCAATGGAGTTTTCACCAATTTCATCTACATAGTTATAATTTATACCATTTGCTTTACATCTGTTTTTATTGTTTTGTTGTGATGTTACATATCTTAAATTTTCTATTCTATTGTCTGTTCGTATATGATTTATATGGTCTACTTGAGGTAAGTTGTCTGGGTTAAGTATGAATTGTTCTGCTATAAGTTTGTGCTTGAAGTATTTTTGACCGTTTAAACATAACCTATAATATCCATCGCTCATCCATTCACTCACAATTTTTCCTGTAGATTTTTTCCTAATATTGTGTGGATATTCTGTGTTAATTTCATAGTCGTTGTCAGCAACAAGTGTTTCCCAAACGTCTTCACCTTCCATGCCTTTCACTCAAATAAAAATTTTCAGAAAAAATAAAACTAGCGTAGATTTTACAATACAGCTATTGTCGAATTTAAGAGTTGAGCTTCAATGTATAAACAATCTTTTCTATCTGGAGGCAAGAACACTGGTGCTTTATGGTCATGAGTTGAGTACATGTCTATCCAAAACTCACGATTGAAACCAGTTAGTTTGTAATATTTAGGATTTGGTAATGGTGAATTTCTTGTATGACCAATGAACTCATTTTCAACTCCTTTACTTAGGTTTGAATATAATATTGCTTGTTTTCTATCCCAAATACCTGGAAATCTAATTTCGGAAAAATCATTTTTCCTCGGAAGCATTGCATCATAATTGAAAACATTTTTGAAATCATCACTTGGTTCAGAGATTTGAAATCTTATACGTAATGGATTTTCTTTCTTTTTAGCTACTTCATTGAATGGTGAATATATAACAAACTGACAGTCATGAGTTCCATCTTCATTTTCATTAAATTCATAATGAAAGTCTATAAGTTGTGGCTGACTACCTTCTTCTTTCAGTTGTGCAAGAAACTCACGTAAAGGCTGTAAAGTTTGTACTTCAATGTTAAACTTTTTCTCGAACATTTCATTAAATGAATCATACATTGTTGCAATGTTGTATCGTCTTTAAAGTATTTGTATATGTGAATGTTTTGGCGCTTAAAGACTGTTCGTCATTTTCTATCTCGACTTGAAGTATAAAGTCAACCTTTCTGAAAGCACGTGTTATATACATATTTGTTATGCCAATGTACTTCTCTTCATTTATGTTCACAATCCAGTCTGTTGGAAACTTAAACGTTACTCTGTTCCCCTTTATTTTGACGTCAGGGTTTTCACTATTGAACGCAACAGATAAAGGTATTTGTCTATACATTTAATTCGGATAAAAATAAACCATTTACTCTTTCTTTGCTTCAGCTTCTTTAGCTTTTGCTTCAGCTTCTTCTCTAGCTTTTTCGCGCAGCAGTGGGTTCTTCTGTCTTCCAGCAGCTAATGCAGCAAGTTGTTTTTCACTAAGTTTTCTCTTTGGTCTCTCTGGCTTTTGTTCTTGTTTTTGTTCCTTCAGTTCGGATAAAATTTGCTCGCGAATTTCTTTCTTCAATGCTTCAACATCTATTGTCTGAGTCATTTGACTGCGGATAAAAAACTAACTTAAAACTTTAACCGATGTAAAATGAGCTTGTCAAAGTCAGAGCGAGAGTCTATTATATTAAATGACGCCAGAGGAATACAACATCCTTTCTATTACGTAAGTCAGAGTAAAGATGGTAAAATATATGTTAGGAAAAGAAAGGTTCCATTAGCGAATACAGAGAGCGACAGTATTAATATAAAACCTTCTGTTCGAACTGAGCCACCAAAAGAACAAGAAGAAAAGAAGCCAGATGTACTTTCAATAACGAACCAAGAGCTTATTGCAAAGTTCGTGAATTTCATTGAAAAACAAACCGAGTCAAAGAACCCTGACCCACCAGTGAAAGAAGTTGAGACAAAAGAGAATGTACAGTTCATTGAAAATGTCAAGAAACAACTTCCACCACGAATGCCAAGAAGAAGAGTGAGAATAATGAAGTAAAGAGATATTTTTATCCGAATCAAAGACATGCAGAACGAACAGTTAAACGAATTTACTCCAGCAGAGCATATTCATCAGATTCGCTCATATTTCGATATCATAGACAATGCAGTTCAAATTGGTGACACTAATAGAAAATATTCTGACGCAAAGATTCCATCACAACCTGGAACTGCTAAAGATAACACATGGGTAACATTCAATCTCTCACCTCCTGGTGAAAATATGTTGGACCTTTACAATACATTCATTACGTATAAAATGGAAGGTCAATTTATTGTAGATAAAGAAATTGGTTCAGGTTCCAATAAAACAAACCCACCAGGATTTTGGATTGGTTTCGATGACGCTTTCTATGCAGTTGCTGGATATCAAATCCTTGCAAATGGTCGTATCGTATATTCTCAAGACAACGCAAGAGAAGAAGCATATATAACTTCAAACTCACAAACTACCGAACAAATAAAGAAAGTAGATGTTTTCTCAAAGACTCGACATGAAGATGTATGGAGTCATTCGGGAACATGCAGAACAGGACAAATTGTTAGTGGTCCAATTACAGCAGGAAAATCATTTGATTTTAAGCTTCGTTTAAGAATTCCTGTTAGAAGATTCCTTCCATTAGAAGCTATTCGATTTATTCCAGCTTTTGCAGGAAACATTCAGCTTAAAGTAAAGTTCAGTAGCGACGCCTTACAATGCACATCTATATCTGTAAATGATATCATTGCTTTCAATCCAACTCTTAAAGTTGCATTTGCTTCAGATTCAAATCCACCGACAAATAAATTTGTTCCATGGAATGAACCATTCACTATGATAACGAAGGCAGTAGAAGCTAGTGGAACAGTTACTATTACAACTGTAACCAGCAACTATTTCGAACAAAGATGGATTTTAATGAATGTTTCATTCATCCAAAGTCATTCTCTTTAGACCCTAACATTTATACAGAACTTGTAGAACATTATACAAACGAGGCTTTATGTTTTCCTGTTAAAGTTATGGATTGGATTCCTATGGACGGTTCATTCTCAAAGAATACAGATAGTTCAAGTGCAACATTTACAGCAGCTTATACGCCTATTAATGTTAAAAGTATTTGGGCACTATTTAGAAAGAAAGACAACTATTATGTTAATTTTGAGAACCCTAAGTTTAAATATCTTCAGCTTTCCATGGGAGCTTATGGAAATATGCCTGCAGAACCTGAAAAATCATATGGACCTGTATTTTATGAAATGGTTGCGAACGCTTGCAATACAAACAATGATATGATAGGATTTAATGAAGATGTTATGAGGTCATTGGTGGATGATGGTAGTGTGGAACATAAATGGGATAGCTATGACAACACACATTTCTTATGTGGTTTTCCAACAGAAGTGGACTTTTGCTTCATGCAGGTCAAACATCTACTGCTCCAATAACATACAAATTGTCTGTTAAAGGACCTATTGAACTAGCAACTGAAAATGTACCAAAGCCACTTATTGGATTTATGAGGGATTGTTGCTTTGCCATTCAGGTGCGTGCTAATGGAATCCCAATAATAAGATTAGATGACTATAACTTAGCTGCGGACGACAGTGAGGAATAAAGGATGAACGTTTATTTTTAAAGCTTATAAATGAGTTCTTCATCAAGCTCTCGTGAACCTTCACCATCTATGAAACAAACTTTACCAAACGATTATGGAGCACCTATTGAATATTTCTTACGAGCTGCACAATGGCAAAGAGCAGTCTCACCAAGGTTAGGTGTTCCACCAGCTCCTGTCAAAAATAGCATTTGGTCAAGTCCTTATATAAGATATGGTCTCCCACTAGGTTTGCTAGCTACAGCAGGAGCATTATGATGTTGAAAAGAAATAAAGCAAATGTTGTAAATAATACTGAAGTAGCTGAAGTTAAACAAACTCCAACACCTTCGCCAAAACCAACGCCTTCACAAGCAAAACCTTCAATGACTCCTGAACCTATGGAAGTACAAACTCCTGTTCAAAAGTCAACTCCTAAACCGACTCCAACATTTAAACCAGAACCTACTCCTCAAATAAATCGTAAAACTCCTGCGTTTCCTTACTGAAAAAATAACGTTATTTTTATTTAATATTAAAATTTTTATTTGATTGAAATGACGACTAAAGTCACTGAAGCAATGAAACAAAAGTTTTGGTAGAATACATTAAATCAGGAACTATTCCAGAAGGTTTTTACATTCATACTATGAAGGATGGTAGAGTTCAGTTTAGAAAGATAAAGCAACCATTAGATAAAGAAGGAATTTTGAGAAAGATTAAACTTCATGAAGACAACATTGCTGAACTTAGAAGAAGTTAGAAGAGTTGGAGAAAGGAAGAGAGTTATAAAGTAATGAATTCAACAGGGTAGAAATGAGGTTAGAAATCTGGTTAGATATACCCATCTACCCTAAATTTATTTTTGTGCTATGTTTTCATACGTGTGAGGGTGGTGATATCATTAATTTTTAAGTTTATTTTTTATTTTATTTTTATTTTATTTTATATAAATGACGAAAACTATTGAGATAACAAACTACAACGGTCATGAGTTCAAGAATTTGTTCTTCGTTCCTCGTGAAAATACATTCTATCAGATACGAGGGAGAAAGGGTAAAGTTAGTTTGAGCGTTTACGACAACAAACATAATGGGAGATATATAAAAGCAATAGATACAAACGGTAAGCGTGTTTCATTAGCTTTGTCAAAACTTACTAACATTTATTTTGACAGTGACTTTGACTCTGACGATTGGAGTGACAGCAGCGATAGTGAAGAATATGAACTGTTGTGTGAAGCAAAGCAATGGGAAGAGTTGCAATACTTTTGTAAATGAGAACATTTATTTTTTACAGTAGTAAAGTCGTTAGTGAAAACGTTGGTGAGGTGAAGTGGTTGGCGGCTTTGTAAATATTTAAGGTTAAATTAATATTGCGTTTGTGTTGTAAAATATACGTTAGCGGTTTTGTAAAGTATCAAATTCACATATAATGGGTAAGGAGGCGCGCAGTGCCACCATACCCAAGACTGGTGTACTAACTAACTCCTTTCTCACAGTCAACATACGAGGGTCCTGGCTGAAACGTTCTCAAAAAGCCTGAGATGGTAATTCTCTGATCACTCATAGCTGGGCAGGTAGTCATTGCTGACAATACCTGTCTTTATGCATGCACGCTTTCATGTATATGGGTTTACACTATCAATTCGCAAAGTTGTTCCGAATTCTTCCAAAATGGAAGGACCCGAAACAACTTTGCTTGTTAACGATACAGACGCATTACTTTGCATTGATACTGTGCTGAGTTGTGTAGAAGGTTTGATTAGAGTTGTTTTGTTCTGGTATCTCTCATCTTCTGATGAGAGAAATCAAAGCAAAACAACTCTAATGAATTTGTTTTCACTCATTTGTATGTAGGTTTTTAGTTCGATTGGAGCTGCTTCATAATGAGATCTCTCATCAATTGATGAGGGAGATCATAACAAAGCAGCTCTAATGTATATGCTCGTATTAACCGGGTTGTAATGCGTTGTAACGTCAGCTTGTAGTTCGTTTGGGGCCACTTCACATTGAGATGAGAAGAAATGATTAAAGGACTCTGAAAGGCTTTGGCCGTTGATGTTGTAATCGCATTACTTGGAACTAGCTGGATGCTAAGCTGTGTAGAATGTTCGATTAGAGCTGTTTTGATATGATTTTCTCATCATAAGATTGGAGGAATCATAGCAAAACAACTCTAATGGGTTTACCATCATCTACTTGTATGTAGATGTTTGGGAAATTGTCTTGTTAATCGATTTTCGAGATGACTTTCAAATGCTATAATCAAATGACAAACAAGTCTAAGATTTCTCGACAATACATCAAATCATGATGTTTGTAAGTGCGATGAGATTAGAGTTTTTGAAGGAATGACAAGAGAAGTAGGGAAGCTCGGCATTCGCCGAGCAAATTAAAAATTAACGTATGGATTAAATTTTAAGAGGAATTCAATTTTAATTACGGGTTGTTCAAATATTGATTAATATAAATTTATTAATAAGAATAAACAATTTTTTTTTGAATTTATTCAATTTATAGCTTTACATATAGTTTCAAAATTGTACAACTATGATTATTTCAACAAAAAATATCTTACTTTTTCACTTCACTTTCACCCTCACTTTTTCCGTAATTCAAATTTCAACATTATGTATTTTAATTCCTTATAGTATTTTTAACATAATTAATCAAATAATAATTGGAAGTTCTGAACTCACTTTTTCCGTAATTCAAAATCAAAAATATGAATAATATATCTATTTATTATATACTAATGCTATTTTCAACTAGAAGTGAGGTACGGTAATCTTACGGATTCCCGTAACTCAATTTTACGGAAAAAGTGCAGTAAACTACTCAATTTACGGAAAAATTGTCGTAAACTATTGATGTGGCGGTAAAATCACGGTAATTCACGGAAAGCTATATGCGAAAATTTGAAATTATACAAAATCGAGCGAAACACTTTTAAATAGGTTGTTCTCGTATTTAAAATACTATTCCCAGATTTATTATCGTCAGAATATTTCCAAATAGGGATGCGACGGTTTTACGCCATGACCGTTTAAAAATAGAATAATACGCCATTTTTGGGGCCGAATGGCGGGTACGAAGTAGCCGCCATTCGGCCGAATAACAAAACAATACAAAATTATAGCCGTCCTTTTTTTTCTCTCTCTCTCTTTCTTTTCTCTTTCCTCTTTTTACTCCTCTTTCTCTTTTCAGCATTAAACGTAGAAAGATATATTAATATTATTTTAAAATTAAAAAAATAAAGAAAGTATAATAAGTAATTATTTAGTTATCGATATATATATGTAAAGTGATAATCTGAGGATAATCTGAGGAGGAGTCTGAGGATTAGACCGAGGAGTAGTTTGAGGAGTAGTCTGAGGAGTTTGAGGATAATCTGAGGAGTTTGAGGATAATCTGAGGAGTTGTCTGAGGAGTAGTTTCAGGAGTTGTCTGAGGATAATCTGAGGAGTTTGAGGAGAAGTCTGAGGAGTTTGAGGATAATCTGAGGAGTTTGAGGATAATCTGAGGAGGAGTCTGAGGATTAGACCGAGGAGTAGTCTGAGGAGTTTGAGGATAATCTGAGGAGGAGTCTGAGGATAATCTGAGGGGGAGTCTGAGGATAATCTGAGGAGGAGTCTGAGGATAATCTGAGGATAATCTGAGGAGGAGTCTGAGGATAATCTGCGGAGGAGTCTGAGGATTAGACCGAGGAGTAGTTTGAGGAGTAGTCTGAGGAGTTTGAGGATAATCTGAGGAGGAGTCTGAGGATTAGACTGAGGAGTAGTTTGAGGATAATCTGAGGAGGAGTCTGCGGATAATCTGAGGAGTAGTTTCAGGAGTAGTCTGAGGACTAGTCTCAGGACTAGTCTGATGAGGAGAACTCTAAGGAGTAGTCTGAAGAGTAGTCTCAGGAGGAAGATCTGAGGAGGAGTCTTATGAGGAAGATCTGAGGAGTAGTCTGATGAGGAGGGTCTAAGGAGTAGTCTGAGGATGATGAGTAATCTGATAAGGAGTAGTCTGAGGATGATCTGAGGATAACCTGATGACTAGTCTAGGAGTGGTCTAATAAAAATGTAAAATATTTTCAAAGAAAAATTCTATGAATTTTATATTTTAATTCTTAGCATTATACTGAATAAAATAAACATAAATATCAAAATTTGAAATTGAACACGCCAAAAAATTGATAATCCACATTCAATATTTTGTAAGTGGCGTACTTTTTGAATACTCGCCATACGCCTTGGAGTTCTCAATTTTGAATTCGCCTTTATTTGGGCGACCTCAGAAAAATACGCCATTAAGAAAATATTGTATGAGATTTTAAATTTGAACACGCTCTACCTTAAGGAATTAAATTTATTAAGATATAAAAAAAAAAAAAAAAAAAAAAGGTAGTGGGGCCTCCAGGCACTTCGTGCCCTCTAGCCCTGAAGATGTTTAGTATAAATGAAGTTTTTTTTTTTCTTGGGATGGGCTTCCAGGCGCGTTGCGCCCTCTAGCCCATAAGAAATTTTTCCCAAGACCCAAGAGGAGGACCGAACCCCAGCCGACCAGCCGGTGACTTTTTTGTAGAGCACTCAAAATAGTATAACTTTGTCCGGACAAGTAAGGGTCTATCGTCGCTACAGGAAAAGTTACAGGCGTTCCACGGAAGTATACTTTGAGAGCCTTTTCTCCCTTATAGAATGAGATAGGACGGTTATTTTACAAAACTAACAACACGTTGACCGAGTAGTTTTTTGTGCTGAACAAATAGTGTCATATAAACATCTGTCAAAAACCGCTTTTTAACTTCACTTAAAATGCCACGTAAGCTACGTAAGAATATACGTAAGAGGAAGAGAGCATTGAAACATCCAATAGTAAAACTAACACCACAACAACAGTTGCAACAACAAATTATGAATGACCCCACTATGTTGCAACAAATGTCAAGCAACCCTATGCTTTTAAACCGAGTTCTTGGTGCACAGAGTGGAGGTTTAAGAGCGGCACTTTTAGCGAAAATGGCAGGCTATGGTGGAGCTGCAGACGGAACAGCTTATAACCCTCAAAGTCAAATGAATTTGAGTTCACTCAAAAATCAAATAACAGATGTCAAAAAGTCAAACATAGACATACAGAAACAAATAAGTGAAAACGAAAAGAAACTAGAATATGACAGACACACAAAGAAACTCAATGAGTTAAACGTAGAGAAAAAGAAGAAAGAAGAACAACTGAAAGAACTAAGTACAGAGGAATATGCGAAAAAAGTGTCAGAAAAAGCAGCAGAAGTAGCAAAAATGGAACAAGATGTTATAAATTTGAAAAACCATACTACTCAATATAAAGTACTGAAAGATGAAGAGATAAAACAAAAAGCCCTGAAGACATATATGGATAGCGATGAGTATAAAAAAGAAGTTGAAGCAAATGTAAAGGCAGAAAAACTTTTACAGTTGCAAAACCAAACCGTACAGTATGAAAACTTAGCACAAGAAAGTAAAATAACGACGCAGCCATGCAAAAGGCAATGAAAAGCGCAGAATATATAAAAGCTAATAATGACTGGTTAGATGCCCAAGCCAACGCTAAAGCAGCCCAACTTATAGGGTCAATAAGGACAAAAATACAAGCGGATGAAGACAGTTCAAATGAAGCTTTAATGAATGCTGACTTTAAGAATGCCTTCGAAGCTCTTCATAGTAAGGTGAAACTAGTGAACGACTTCTCATCTGGAAAGAAACTGAAGTCTGAAGGTTTCGACAAGAGTTAAAAAGAATACACAAAATATGACGAAAATAACAGATGCAGCAACGAGACAGGCAGTTCAAAGTGCCTATGACGCCGTTAGAGCAACTGTTGTGGAAAGTCAAGAAAAAGAGTTACAACAGACCAAAACAGACCTAGTAAATGCTTTCTTAAGAACGAAAAGTCAGGTAGGACATTATGCTGCAGATGGAACATATGTGCCAGCTGGTGGAACTTATATACCACCAAACCCTCCAAGAGAAGCACCTGCACCAGGACTACCTAAAACATTTACATCGTCACATGGACACAGACACAGGCATGCACCAAAACCAACACAACAACCAACACAACAACCAACACAACAACCAACACAACAACCAACACAACAACCAACACAACAACCAACAGTTCAAAACACTGCACCACAACCAACAGTTCAAAACACTGCACAGCAACAACCACAAAACAGAGCAAGGACATAAAAGAAGTAGAGAACAAGGAAACCAAGAATTCTTAAAATGCTTAAGGAAAATTATGGTTACCCAGATACTCTTGACTTTAGTGACAGATATAAAGAAGCTATTAGAAAGTTCAAGGAAGGAAATACTGACCCGAACCTATTTAGCTTTATGGTTCAGCACCAAATGGGATATAATTTTCAACCTGGAAAATACAGAGCTCGCTAAGGGATATGATTTAATAGCATATCATCCAAATGACATGACTGAATTTACTCCAAGATATTTGTGTCAGAGCTAAACGATAATTCAACTCTCTTCATGAAACGCGTAAAAAATAGAGACGGAACGAAAGAAGAAAGGTTTATGAGTCCGGATGACTTAGATAGGGAACTTTTTAAAAACGGTCTCGGAATATATGAAATGCCAGCAGATGAGGTACAAGAAACTCCACAGGAAGAAGTTCAGATACAACCAGACATGGAAAAATAGTTCAGCAACAACAGCTAGAAGAGCCTGAAGGAAACAAACAAGTCCCTCCTTTGGAAACTAACTTCACAGAACTAGATGAAGATTTGGAACAGCCGAAAAATCTTGACCCTCAACAAGTGTATGCGGAGAATATGGAATCTTTCCAAGAGTCTAAGAAAAATTCGGCTGACATAGTAGAAGAATATCGAAAAATGTTCGCCGACATACAAAAGACTCCAACATCAGATGAAAATATCCAGCATAGAATGGAAGTACTGAAAGATAATGTACACAAATACAACAATCCTTTTTACTTACGAGCATATAACGTTCAATCTTTGGATGAACTCGGTGAAAATAAAAGGTTAAATTTCAACAAAACATATAGAAATGAAACATTGTTTAAAGTTCATTCAGAAACCTAGCCAATATGGAAACAAACCTACTTTTGTTTCTGCAGACGATGGAACTACAATGAGATGGGGTCATAAAGCTAATCCGGATAGGTGGTTCATAAACTTACAACCACAATTCCAAGAAGTTGTAGACGCAATGGAAGTGAATGGTGAACCAGATGTAGCTGGTATTTTCAGCGCGGCTTTAATGCCATTGAAAGATATGAAAGATGCAGATATTTGACCAGTATGAAATGAAACATGGCTGATGGAAATATAACACCTGACGTTCTAGAACATTTATCTCAAAGAACTACACAGAACCATAGAATGGTATATTTGGTGAAGAGTTTAGAAAGAAAGTTAGGGAGATAGAAGGAAGAGAACCTATTGTACATGACCTTGCAAACGAAAGTTTACAAAATGTCATAAAAACTTACTTTGCAGACAATGAACCGAGAAGGGATGAATATTTAAGAAAACTCAAATGGACAGTACAAATGAAATGTTAGTATTGAAAAACATGTTCCTTGACAAAATAAAACAACTACAGAAATAAATGACGCAAGACTGAAACATTGGTAAAAGCTTTCCCATTCACAAAAGATATTATTGGTAACATGGAAAGAAACCAGAATGGCTACAAAAACATATATTTGGAAACGAGCTTATTCCATATGGACAAGCTCTGTTTGAAGAGCTTGAACCGGAAACTCAGGAAAGAGTCATGCAAACAATACGCGAAGACTCAAAATACAAACTATGACAAAATCTTTCTAGGATATAGGTTACCTGAGATGGGCGACCAGAGCCCAAAGGCAAAAAAGGACATGGGAAATTTACAACATACTAGGTGAACATGAGGCAAAGATGCAACAACTTAAAGCAGAGGGCAAGTTACCAAAAGCGACACAAAGAAGAAGAGTAGAACAAAGTAAAGCTTGGTCCGAGTGGGTTCTTTTATGATATATAAATCCAACTATTCTATTTTTACCATATGAAATGTACGCCGCTCAGAATATAACGCCAACAGTTTTGGATGCTATGAACGGAAATGTTTCCGAATGGTATAACGAATGCGACAATGCCATTAGAAGGTCAGAAATAGTTCCTGGAACTTACGAATATACAACTGCTGTTTCTTATGGAAACGTAGGTGAGTTTGGAAAAGGTTCTTCAACAACAGTAGATATTGCTTGCGACAGGTTTCATATTATTTCTATTGACAACTCATTCTTATACGTGGAACAAGACATTGAAATAAAACCTTCTGCCAAGTTGTCTGACAAGAAAGGTTGCAATGGAATTTTCTATGTCGGATACCAATATGCTCCAGAAGTTTTCATGGATATAAGATATATTCTAACTCTGACTTAGTTCAAACAGTAACATGGGCAAACTATGAATGGTTCGCTTTGAGAAACTCAGTACAACCACAGCTAGAGAACAAACAGACCAGTATGCAAATATTGAGAAAATAAGAAGACTTGACCCTAACGTTCCAGGAGTTTATGTTAACCTTTCTGGTTCAGATGGAAATGCGCCACTAAAGTAAAACTGAAACTTAGAGTTTCCTTTGTCATCTTTCCTCATCTTCAGGTTTTTAAGATACTTGCCAAAACTGGGCAGGAAAAATTTCTATCGAACTTACTCCAAGCAAAAATAACTTAGTCATTGCACCAACACAAGACCCATTCAGCATTACTGTAGCTGGAACTGGTGGAGCCAAGTTCTGTGACTTTTGCAAAGACAAAGTTGACTTAGACTTTGGTTTCTCAAACTTCAACAATGAAGAAACTATTATTTCAATGCTGCTGGAACTGCTTGGACCCAGTTAAGTTTTACATGCGAAAAGTTTGAATGCAAGAGAATAGAAAGCAGACTTGCAGTCTATATGTTGGACCCAGATATTTCAAATGCTTTAGCTGCCAATATATATTGCAGTTCCACTTATGTTCCCTATACACCAAATATCTGTCAAAGACTTTGCAGGTGAAGTTGGAAACCAAAGTGCTGACCCAGGTGCAAGAACAGATATTGCTTTAACAACTGCAATGAAACATGCAGATACTATGTTTGTACTGTTCAGACGAACTATAAATGACTATTCTTGTTCTACAACCCCGGTATTAAATATCATATAAACATAGATGGCAAATATTATCCAAGAGAAGAATATTCTACAGTTGAGGATATGAGGTCATACAACTTGACCTTAGATGCTATGAACTTTAACAACAATTTCACAACAACCATAAACCCTGAAATGCAAAGTTCTATTATGCCATATGTGAAAGTATGGACTCATACAGGAGGTCAAAAAACTCAATATACAAATGGAGACCGTTCAAACTTTTGGCTTGGCATTCCATTTGCTGACTCAGAAGACTTTATGGGTGGTATTTCAACTGTTGGTACTGTACAAATACAATATACTGGTGACAGAGACGGTCCAGATGAACTGAGAGCAAAGAAGTTTACAAAACCAATAGCACTTTCACGGAAGATGCTCTTTTGAAGATTCGTTCGATGACCTGCTGGGGCTCCTCAGATTGGCATAAACGACAGCTTCCATCGAGCAGATTTTGGCAGCAGGTCAGTAAGTTGTTCTTGAACTGACTTCTCTCCGTCAAATATTGACAGTACGCCAGTTTTGACATAATATTGTAAGATAAACTTTCCTTTAGAAATATCTGTAAGTTTTGAAGTTATATTTTTGTCTGCTTCAAGAACTTTCACCATTTCAGTTATACCAACTTTCTTTGCTTTATGAAAATATTTTGGTTCAGCAAAGACTGCTATTCTATATTTACCATTATTTGTATAAAGAACTATTCTGTCAATGTATTTGTATTGTTTGTGTGTGTAAACTTTGTTCTGCTTCAATTCGAAGAGATACTCAATACGTCCATCTTTTTATTCTAAGTAAAATGTCATTTCCGAAAAATAGAAGCGTAAGTGTTTCAAAAGGTTTAATGGCGGTGGCAGATGTGAAGTTAAATTCACCAACTCAAACAAACAGTCAAAGTGTTGTTGTCAATGTCAAAGACAGAGATGTTGAAGTGGGGAAACCATACGAAGACGAAGATGGTATAACAATTGTTCCTGTAAAAGAACCAACATATCCTGAAGTTAGCAGAGACTTAAGTTCTGTTGCAGATATTCGAAACGACTACCAACAACTTAAAGACAAACTTCAAACTCAGGAGAAGATTTGTCAAGCTTTAAGTATAATGTTAAACTTGGTCGAACAC